AGATATTAACGTGACATTTGAAGACGCCGAGCAACCGTCAACTCGCAAGGGCAGAAAAGGCTCTGGTTTAACCGACAAACCTCCGAAAATCAGAAATCCCACTCCGAAAACTGCGGCCAACGCTCCAGCCATTGCTCCCTGCGAATTAGATTGTTGGATGACTGTTCTGCTAAGTAGTAACAAGAACATATTCCTCACCTTGCTGTTAATCTTCGGAGCCACCATTCCAAGCGTGAAGAGTCCAAGAAGTGCTGCAGAATTAAGACCAATAAGCTGTGTTGCTATTTTAAAAACGGCTCCCATTTGCTGAATCACAGGAACGAGAAGAATTTGAACCAGTCCCAAAACTATGACGATTGATTTCATGATTCGGTTTGCCACACTTTCGTCTTCGTTTCTCAGTCGATAACTTATGAAATCTTCGTAGATCGTGCCGCTCATCGTGTTGAGATAAGAAGAAGTCGTGGACAAGCTAGCAGAAAAGACTCCGGCGATGAATATTCCGTTGAATCCGAGGAAGAGAGAAGCTTTCTCCTGAATGAAATGCGGCAGAATTTGATCCATGCTCTTGATCGTTCCGCTTTTCCAAGGATCACAACTTTCATAATTAGCATACATGATTGCGCCAAGAAAGTGCGATAATCCAATATAGGATCCGAACAAGACAAACATTAACCAAAGAGCCGCCTTCATCTTCCGCCGTTCCGGTAATGAGAGTAAACGTTGAGTATGAGATTGGTTAACGCCGTTGTGATAAGTATTTGATATTATCATTCCCGAAGCATATCCAAGAAACGAACTTCTGCTGTTATAATCTTCTAGACTGAAAGTATGGAACAAAATACAATATGTAACCTTACTTTTTAGGATTACTCTCATAATTCAACTTGTAATGAAACCTTGTTTTTCTATGAAATGTTTTGTGTGAACAAATTATTAGGTAGTTTCAATGGCGCAGAAGAACTCGTTAAGTTTAATTGATCTAGAGAACTCACTTGATGAACGGCAATCTTCCTCCGCGTTCCGCCGCATTCCACACATTTTTCACTCCGCCGACCGCGTTGCTTCCAACGATCGCAACCAAGATCGAACTCGTCATCATGAACAGAATTTGCAGGACGTCCGTGTAGACCACGGCCTTGAATCCGCCGAAAGCAGTGTAAGAGGCGCACAAGACCGAAAGCACAACCACAGTGACGTACAGATTCACGCCGGTGACTTTCTGGAAGGCCAACGCAGGAACGTAAACCATCAGCGGCAAGTAAAGAAAGCCCGTTAAAATGTAGAGACCGGACGAAAGGAGACGAACGCTTCTGCTGAACCTCAACTCGAGATACTGGAACGTCGACGTGAGCTTGAGCTCGTGAAACACGGGAATATAGATCAGTGGCACAAGAACACAAGGAGCGATTTGGACTGTTCCAATCATCCAAGCATGTAGGCCGTAAGCGTAAGATTCCGCCGACAAACCGATAATTGTTGCAGCGGTAATTGACGTGGCAGCGAGTGAAAATCCAACTGGCAAGACTCTCATATTCCGCCCACCGAGGAAATATTCATCTTTAGAGTTTGATTTCTTCCTCGATTTGATGGCATGATAAAGTCCGATCGCGATCGAAAAGACAAACACAACTACAAAGAAGGAATAGTCCAAAATGGAGAATCTTCCTTTGTCCACTGAATCCATGATTGTTCGTGCTTCTTCACTCACTGAACAACAGCAATTGAATTCTCTTGAGTTCATTCAGTTAAAGATTAGTGAGATAATTAGGAAAGTCATCAACTTTTATATATACAAAAAGACAAGGTTTTTATTACAACGGCGAGTAAATTATTAAATCCCTAATATCGTTAATTAAAAAACAACTAGCTGCGTGTCATTTACGACCTGTTGCAAGAAACTATACGATAAAGATTTTCGCATTGACCTATCTTACAACAGACTATTTTATATGAGAGAAAAAAAAACAAAAAAGAAGAATTTCCGACTTGTCACTGATATTCATCCCTCATTATCTATAATACGATTATTATGATTTGTCAATTCGATCCTGACTTCTCGGTCATTCGCAGTTTCCTTTCTCAGAAGCGTCGCAAGCAACTTCTGATCAGTCACAGTGTTTCCTCCGGTGAAGAAACTGACCGAGTAAGCGAAAATCACATTCAGCAGAAGTCCTATAAAACCGAAGTAAAGAAACGAAATGCGGAAAAGCCAGAAGACTTCATCATTCCGATCGACATTCACAAGACTGATGTCTGAGATTAACGTGACATTTGAAGACGCCGAGCAACCGTCGACTCGCAAGGGCAGAAAAGGCTCTGATTTAACCGACAAACCTCCGAAAATCAGGAATCCCACTCCGAAAACTGCGGCCAACGCTCCAGCCATTGCTCCCTGTGAATTACAGCATGTGAAATAATAATGCAAAAGGAAAATATTTAATATAACACTCCTAACCTTGCTGTTAATCTTCGGAGCCAACATTCCAAGCGTGAAGAGCCCAAGAAGTGCTGCGGAGTTTAGAGCAATAAGCTGTGTTGCTATTTTAAAAACGGCTCCCATTTGCTGAATCACAGGAACGAGAAGAATTTGAACCAGTCCCAGAATTATGACGATTGATTTCATGATTCGGTTTGCCACACTTTCGTCTTCGTTTCTCAGTCGATAACTTATGAAGTCTTCGTAGATCGTGCCGCTCATCGTGTTGAGATAAGAAGAAGTTGTGGACAAGCTAGCAGAAAAGACTCCGGCGATGAATATTCCGTTGAATCCGAGGAAGAGAGAAGCTTTCTCCTGAATGAAATGCGGCAGAATTTGATCCATGCTCTTGATCGTTCCGCTTTTCCAAGGATCACAGCTTTCATAATTAGCGTACATGATTGCGCCAAGGAGTTGAGATAATCCAATATAGGATCCGAACAAGACAAACATTAACCAAAGAGCCGCCTTCATCTTCCGCCGTTCCGGTAATGAGAGTAAACGTTGAGTATGAGATTGGGTCATGCCGTGTTGATAAGTATTTGCTATTAAAATACCCGAAGCATATCCAAGGACAGAACTTCTGGTATTATGATCATCAAAACTGAGAAATAAAACATACAAAGAAAAAAATTATAAAGTAATTTGGTAAATAGATGAAAAATATTTCTTAATTATTTCAGACTAACCACGTTGTTAAAATTCGTGAATTGAAGTCATTAAATATTAATTGTTCTTGAAAACTCACTTTATGAACGGCAATCTTCCTCCGCGTTCCGCCGCATTCCACACATTTTTCACTCCGCCGACCGCGTTACTTCCGACGATCGCGACCAAGATCGAACTTGTCATCATGAACAGAATTTGCAGGACGTCCGTGTAGACCACGGCCTTGAATCCGCCGAAAGCGGTGTAAGAGGCGCACAAGACCGAAAGCACAACCACAGTGACGTACAGATTCACGCCGGTGACTTTCTGGAAGGCCAGCGCAGGAACGTAAACCGTCAGCGGCAAGTAAAGAAGGCCCGTCAAAATGTAGAGACCGGACGAAAGGAGACGAACGCTTCTGCTGAACCTCAACTCGAGATACTGGAACGTCGACGTGAGCTTGAGCTCGTGAAACACGGGAATATAGATCAGTGGCACAAGAATACAAGGCGCGATTTGTACTGCTGCAATCATCCAAGTGTGAAGTCCATAAGCGTAAGATTCCGCTGACATACCGATAATTGTTCCAGCGCTAATGGACGTGGCAGCAAGGGAGCATGCAACTGGCAAAACACTCATATTCCGCCCTCCGAGGAAATATTCATCTTTAGAGCTTGATTTCTTCCTCGATTTGATGGCATGATAAAGTCCGATCGCGATCGAAAAGACAAACACAACTACAAAGAAGGAATAGTCCAAAATGGAGAATCTTCCTTTGTCCACTGAATCCATGATCGGTCGTGCTTCTTCACTCACTGAACAACAGCAACTTAATGAAGCTTTTCTCGCTCAGTTGATTAATGAGTAGCAACAATGTTAAAAATTTGGTAGTTTTTACATAGAACAATTAAGTCAAATTTTTTTATTCTTGTCATTTGCCTCAACGTCACTTACTGGGTATATAAAAGAGTATTTAATGAACAAAAATTTGTGTTTGAGTTTATTACAAAAAAAAAACTCAATTTAGCAACAGATTTTCATTCATCTTCTTCATCGTATTGTTTACTATCATATACCAAAAAAATACACTCGAGGCATTCAAACTCTCGTTCACAACTTTATATTTGCCATGGTTGTGCACAAAATGTAATATTGCTTTCATGAGATGAGCAGTGGATGAAAGTTAAAATTGATTCGCCCTGGAGATGTAATTCTGGACACGTTTTACCCGCGACGTTCTCTGGTCGAAACGATTTTTCTCTCTTCTTTTTAAACATGATTTATCTGGACGAGATTGTTCATTTCTAGCTTCGATGGCCCCAAAGCATATCAATGGTGGCACCACTATCCCACTCTGGGACTACCGCAACATTCTCCTTACTATGTAGCATGTGGCGCATTCGTGCCAATTTATTGCTTGGCTTCCTTCGCTTTTTACACAATCAACCTACGCAAGTCTATCCATCCATTTATTGCCGTATCGCGTTAGGAGAATACAGAAGAAGTGATTCATTTTCTCCCTCAGTGAAACCCACCCACCTGATGATTTCTCGGGTGTCTCGAAATTGTTTTTCCTCCCCATCGCATTCTGTGGCGAAGTTGGCAACAGTAAATCTACTTACACTGATTCAATAATAAAAAAGGGCACTTTTAGTCCTGAAATACGCTTAACATCAACATCCTGTGCTTCGCTTCCGCCATTAATAACATCGCCATTAATGGCCAATTATCGCATTCAATTTCAATTAGGGAAGTTTGTAAATTAAAATGCTTCCCATATTGATATTGAGGTGTTCTTTTTCAACCATCTCTATCTCTGTACTTATTAAATTAAAACATAATCCCTCACGCTGTGCTCTCAATTCTGCTTCAGGTTCATCCGCAACCACCCCAAACTGGAGTGATAAATCCGTGCATCTTGGATCAAATTCTCAATCTCATCTCGATACCAGATGATGGTTACGACATACACGTGAGTATATGTGCGCCATAACCCCGGGATGGGCATGAAATTTATCGCCGTAACCCTTGTCATACAAAGCAGAGAATAGCACTTCGGAATCGATTGAGGAGCATTCTCGAGAGGGCCATTGACGACAGTGACTACCAGAGATTGGACGGCGATGGGAGTGAGGGTGACTTCTTGGCTGACAAGCGCTCAATCAATTCACTCGCGCGCGCTGGCTTGTTCCCCAAGCGGAATCTCGGCTCGGTGCTGCGAACGGGTGGCTTTCAGCGAACAGGTGGTGAGAATGGTGGCGGTGGCAAGAGGAGTCTCGCGAGTCTGGCCAAGACGGGCCAGCTGCCATCCAAGGAGCCCGACGCGGAAATCGCCCCGTCGTCACTCTGGCTGGAGAACAAGCGCAATCTTGGCGCTCTGGCGCGCTCCGGAAACTTCTACTTGACTGGCAAGAGGAATCTGGCAGCGCTGGCTCGTGGCAACTTGCTGCCGCTGGCGAAGAGGGAATGGATTGAGGAGGAGCGCAGGAGTATTGGTGCTCTGGCGAGGGACTGGGCGCTGCCCAACCAGAAGAACAAGGATGAGGAGGAAGAGGAACTGAAAGGTATGCTTGAGTGCAGGATTCTCTCTCTCTCTCTCTCTCTGTCACTGTCTTAAGAATCCCCTTTTGCGTCTCTCCCGAGCAGAGAAGAAAAACATTGGGGCTCTGAAGAATTCACCCATTCATGGTGTGCGCCAGAAGCGACAGGCGTCCTACACTGATTTCGAAGATGGTACGTTTGAAGTGCCAGAACCAGTCGTTCAAACATCCCCTGTTGACTATGAAGACATTCTCGAGTCTCTCAATAGCCTCAATTCCAATGCACATTTCGAAGACAAGCGATATCTTGGTGAGTACGCAATTGCATTACCATTTTTTCCCATGTTATGCACAGTTTGGCGAAAATATTCTTCTGCCATCCAGAATCCATTGACAAATTTTGAATCTCTCAATTCAATAGAATCCTGCCAACAATATTTCATTGTGAATAACACATAACGTCTAAATGCTCACATATATGTGAAGCTCGCAAAGCTTTTGGCGATGCGAATATTTTTCCCTTGTGCAAAGCGACGTGTTGTGATGTATTTTAAAAATCAGACACATATTCACACATTCCTGAAAATATATTTATGTGCAAAATCACTGCAAGCAACACAGCGAAAATTTTCCAGCACACTTTCTCATGAGACATACATGTGAAATGGGCGGGGCCTGTGAGTGGGCGGGGCGTACGGTTAGACTGTGATGTTGTCTTTCAGCTCATCTGCAGACTTTTGTAATGCAAAGTGTTTAACAGGAGATCTTCTGTTCTCGCCCAAAAAGCCTCGATGGCCCGAAACGGGTGGCTGCGATCGTTCAGGCCGAAGGAGAAGCGCCACGTAGGTTCGCTGGCTCGCTTTGGTCTCCTTCGCTCTGACTTGGAGTCCAACTTGAGACAGATGCCATGGCGAAGAATGCCGGAGAAGCGACATATCGGAGCACTCGCTAGGTCTGGGTGGTTTTCATCGTCCTTTAGACCCGCTAGAGGAGGTCGCTTTAGTCGATCGGGCAGGGCGAGGTCTCAAACAGTAGGAAGTTGAATTGCTTGATGTTTCAGTGTTCATAGTAACTCCTCACTGGTGTTCCTTTAGATGAAGATGAAACTTTACCAAGCCACAAACACTTTGATTTCCTCCTCTGTAGAACACATTGTACATAATAGCTAATAATTAATTTTCCTTCCACAGACAAATAGTATGTCTATATCTTTTTTATCACTGAATGCATTTCTTAAGGCAGAATTTGAATGCAATCCTTTGTAGCTCAATATGATGTTTGTCTTTCGTGAGCATCCGTAGATTTTTTCACTTATTTTTCCTCTTCCATCCTCGCATTTTTCCAAACATTCTCTCAGTGTATTGCACAGGAATTTGAAATTCACGTACAAGAGGATGAATGTACGTATAGATAAGGTTACATTCTGACGTGACACAAAAATTCCTGAAAGGAAATTCCACATTTATTGTTAGAATGAGAATGCTGGCAAATTGTTATATCGGGCAAAATGTAATAAGGAAGCAATACCCTTTTCAATTTTAGAAAAATCACACGTCTGCAACAACATTCTTCGTTGAGCATTTCTCACACGAAATTCTTCTTCTCACAATGACGTACTTTCGCCTTTTTTTCACCCTCGCCGTCTTTACGCCCACACGTTCTTACCGTGACAAAGAGCATGTCTTCAGTTACTGCTCGTCTCTCAATTGCAATAAACATAAATCATGTGTGTCTGTTGCACTAAGTCTGGTTAAAACTTTCAATTTCCAATTGAGGCAACATTTCACGCACCACCGAATAAAAGTTTTAATGTAATTATAAAGTAACCCAAAGGCTGTGACACGGAAATGAAATTAAACTTTTATGAAGCACCAACTTCTGAATTGCCCGAAACCTTATTAATCTTCCCCAGCAAATTGATTGAAGGGTGTGTGAAAATGAAGGGGAAAATATTTATTCATGCTTCATAAATCTGTATCTTAAAATTTAATCACTTTTCATAACTCTACCAATTAAGAAAATAACACAAAATAGAGATTGTAGATAAAAAGTATGATTTAATTAAGCAAATACAATCAATTTCTAAATATTTTCCTCTTTACTGTCGGAATTTATTGCATCATAAAGTGGTTCAATTTGTATCAAATTCCCGAACAAAGTACTTTTTCATTGATTTTTGAATGAAATTCTCAATCATTTTACACTTGATTCGTTTTGCAATTCCGCGAGAAATGTCGAAAATTGACAATGGCAAAGAAGACACGAAAAATCCTCATTCTTTATCCACTTCAAACCAAGGGCTGACAATTCACTAAGCCTAGTTACAGTTTGTACAGAGAAAAACACACTTTAATAAAATTCTCTTTGGAATGGGCGTGGCATTCGATAGGGCGGAGCTTCCAAAGCATCCTTTTACATTTCAAAGCAATTTATTGTTACCAAAACTTTGTATGAAAAGCAGAAATAATTCAGATAAATTATTTCCTTTTCACGTTAAAATATTCGACACAATATTCTGAACTCGCGAGTTGTTTTCCCCTTGCTCAGGACGTGTATAATACAGCATAACGACGGCCGTCGACGCTCGTTAGTTCATGCTTCTTGCCATGAGGATGCAGAGGGCAAAGCTGACGAAATACTTTAATGTGCCACGATGTCTTCGCCAGTTCGCTGGTGGCGCAATACAATGGAGCAAAATGACACGTCCGACGTTATTGGAAATTGACTTAGCATCGAGACATGACTATAGTGAACTAATTGAAATATAAGCGAGGTTTCTACTTTAAAATTGTAATTTTCTCCGGCGCACAGAAACTTTGTGGAAATCCAATCAAATTATTCTCTCCTTGCGGTTAATTTTTCCATTTTGTGTTCAGTGAATTGGAATTTAATTAACTCAACTTATTTTCATCACTATTCACTCTGTCCACGCGTGGCCATTTAAATTGCCCAAGAATGCGCAGATAATCTCTGAAACCCCGTTCTGAGATCGGAAAATACAAATTCCTGGGTGTGAATCAGGTGATGGTCAACATTCCTTAGAACTTTCTCATCAAACTTTCACATATTTAAGATATTTTTCCCATGAAAACACAGTGAAAATAGAACCGCAACTCAAACATTTCTCATTGAGGAAGTAACTTTTATATCCATTGTCGATGCATGGCGTGTCTTTAAGGGTTGTTATAAAGTATTCAAAAAATTCATTAAAAATCCCTTTAGTTTTAATATAACACTTTGACACCGACATGCAATAATTTTCAATGTCAAGCAAAATGTTTCTCACACTATCTATACTTTTACATCAAACCCATCAAACATATGTATAATGCGTTCCATGAATAGTAATCAAAGCTGAGCTACTGCGTGACTTAGAAGAAAATCAATATATCAGACAATCACAAACAAAGCCATATGAAAAAATACTTTTCTCCACTTCTCAAACTTTATTGAAAGAAGCAATTTCTAATCTTCAATGCAAATTTCTGTAAAATATTTTCAGAAAATTAGAATCTCAAATCCTATTCGGTTTGTTAAAATAAACAACTAGAGAATATTGGCTATCTCTTGAATGCGACAAAAGGACCTCAAAGAGTTGAAATTGATATTAAAATTTCGACTCGAAAATCTCTCGAGCAAAACCTCTTTCACACTTTATTGTGAGAAAAAAAACTTGAAGCTGTTCTTGTTGTAGGTTTACACTTGTAATCTTGAACTTCCTAGAAAATTACCTGCTATAAACTTCTATTTTGGGCTTGAAGTTACTTGTGAATGCCTAAGAGCGAAGAGATGTGCAGAAATCAAAACAGTTGAGACGCTTTTACTCTGCCATCATCGTTCGAAGAAGCGTAAAATACGTATAGTTGCGATTGATCATAGTCTGAAAGCCCGACACGCCAAGAGGCATAAGCCCACAAACTATTATTTGTGGTGAATGTTGAGTCCTCATAATCAGCATTTGGATGAACAATCGTGTTCTCTTCGGCATCGTATACCACGGATAATTGTACAGAGCGGCGAGAAGTTTCTCATTCTGAAATAAAATGGCTTTGTGTTCAATATTAACATACATAAGAAATCATGAATCAAACCTCAATCAACAAAAGTTCTGCATGGAAATTGAATAGAAATGACATAACGATATTCATCACGATATAAACCACATGAATCCCAATTTCCATCTTAGTCGTGACGACGTTGATATTGAAGAGCGAAACGATTAACACAGTTGAGAGAAAAACATATTCGACTGAAAAGATTTGAGCAAAAAGTGATCCCAATTTTTCAGCATAAATCAGAGCTTTGTAGTGCTGAGAAATAATGCTTTTTAAGCGTGTTAAAACTTCATCTTCAGTCACTTTTGATATTTCCTTCAAGACGAATGCACTGCAAGACAGGATTTCGTACAAAATGTGATCAAGACGTAATTATTCACTTCTTAAACTTACTCATCAGAAGTTTGTTCTAAAATCCCGGCGTAGGACTTAATAACTGAGATGTGGATGAACTTGAAGAGAACAGCGCCAAAGGACATGAATCGGATCATTAAACTCATCCACGGCATGTAAAGTGTTAGGCAGACAAGTGTCAGATAAAATTGATAGGCGAAAACCAGTTGATAATTCGGTGTTTTGATTTGATCGAAAGGTGCCCAAGTGTTGTACATTGTCATTCGAGTGTCTCCTTCGCCGAATGCCAAGGAATACACGGCGAACAGAACAGCTCCAGTGCAGCAGAAGGAGTAATTGATCATGTTGAATATTTTGCCATACTTCTTCTGCCAAATGTAAGAAGACATTTAATCATTTGATTAATTAATTTGTGAGATTTCTCTCAAATTACATCGAATGCGAAAATTTTCTGAACATCCGGATCTGTTGATTTCTCAACTTCTATCACTAATTCGTCAAAATACAGCAGAAATTCCTCAACTTCAATGTGATTTAACCAGATGAAAACACACTTCAGGAATACATTACTCGCTGTGGCGGTGTAAAAAGCATCGAATATAATTTCAGACATCTTGAAAATCAATTTTCCATTAGTGATTTAAGCTACAAATCGAAAGAAACTTCACATGAATAACTCACTCTGCCTTGTCTCCAGTAAGTAATTATTTGAATGAATTGTTGCACATTAAAGACACCAATGCAAATCATGAAAATATAAGAACGAATCTTCGGATGCAAAATTATTCCCCATTTCACGAGAATTTGCGCACTTAAAGCAATCTCCTTGTTCTGCAGCCACGGAGCTTCGGCCAGAGTTTTCTTACTGAACTTGAACATATTCTGAGGAAATATTCGCAGAACCAGGAGAAAACACACACACACAATTTAGATCATCAATTCAATCATTTTCCATTCAGGAAGTGGATTTTATAGCCAACAAAGATGTGGCGTGTCATCGATGGTCATTATAAAGTATTCATAGAGAGTCATTCAAGTTTGATATTGCGACACTTTGACACAAGCATGCAATTTGTGTTGAGTGTCATGCAAATTGTTTTCTCGCTCTTCGCGACACAGAGATTCTAATTAAATTTCCAGTGTTTATAAAAGCTCAACGATTTCGCGGGTTTTTATGAATTAAATCACATCATCGCCATAGACAGACGTTATTCATTATATTCTTCTTATCACAGCGAGGATTCATGCAATCATGGATAAAAGTTCACACGTGATAAATAAGTATGCAACAATTTTTCCCCTTTCATCCGATTCACAGCCAGGAATTTGCAATTTCCGATCTCAGTTTGAATTGTGAAATTGCGGTAAGTTGTTTTAAGACTGGAATTACTTCCCGCAATTATTTTATTGATGGGAAAAATAATTACACAGAAACCGCAAAATATAATCTTCCTCGAGAGACGCTTTTCTTGGCTGAATTAATCAGGAAATTAATTGAAGAATGAAGTGATGCAAAACAACATTTCACAACAAGTTGAGTTTCATCAACTTTTCAATAAGATTAATTAATTTACGAGAAAATTGAACTTTTTGCTGTATGGATTTTTACTTCTTTCTCTCATATCTTTTAATATCATAAATCTATTTTGGACATCTGTGGAAGACACACACACAAAAATGTCGATGGACTTTCGTGTTGTTGCACAATATTGACAAATCTTCTCGCTATCCAGAAAAAAAAGTGTGTTGAGCAAATATTGTGATTAAAAGCTCCAGTCGAAGTTAAGTGTAGAGGCGAAAATGCCCAGGAAATTGCAAAATTTGCGCAAAAAATATGTTTATTTAGGTTTCTTCTCTTGGGACATTTTTAATCTAAACTCCTGCTGAAATGGTGGAGAAAAAGGAATTTTTTTTTCAAGCAGGAGGTAAATATGGAGACTTTTCTAATTACTTGTTGCCTCTTCAAGCTGTGTTTCCACCTGGAAAATTCAATTACAATGTAAGTTCTCAGTGCAAGAGTTTGCGGACAGAAAAGAAACTCAACACACAAAAATCAGGAAACTTTGTGTGTTCGCGAAGGAAATCTATGCTAGAATTGAACTTTTATCAAAAATAATCATTTTTCTGGTCAGTTTTAGGCACGTAAATCAGTTTCAGTGATGCTCACATCCTTGTACATAAGCAATCCCGCCTTTTTCCCTCTTTTCTTCACTTTTTCTCATCGAAATCAACATAGAATTTTTTTAATGTGACGACAAATAATGACTTTTGGCATGAGAAAATTTCTTCCAATTAACTTTTTGTAGAGTAGAAACTGTTTTAATAGTGATTTTTCTGCTCTCTGTTCATCGACAAAGAACACTTCTCCTTCTAATCTCACTCTCTTTCTCTCTCCTTTGTCACTCTGTCGCTTTCCACCAATTTAAAGGACGGATTTTCCCTCCAACCCGACCGACGTCAGCAACCTATCGCCAACGCGTGTAGACGATGCGCTCCTCTCTTTCTCCCGTCCGTCAGCTGGGCAGCGCCCGGACTCCAGCACTGGGGCACGCCGCCCAGACTCACCGGCAACTGGCGCCGCGGCATCCGGAAGTCCCTCTATTGAGCTGCCCGCGGACGAGGCCGAGATGGCCAACGACATCATCGACTTCTATCCGCTGCCCGCATTCGAGTGCGTCAACTGCTTCCCGCCGCTCCTCATCTAAGCGCCGCGCGACAGCCCATCTGACGACGCCGGAGAAAAGTCCCCAACATTGCGCATTAATACCCTCTTCTATCGCTCTTCACCTCGCGACAGGATCAACCCCAATGTGCGAAGCTTCGAAAGATTTCCCCCAAAGTCATATCTGACGACAAAAATTCATATCATAATGAAATTCCAAATCATATCAATGAATATCTTCCCTTTTTCGGCAAATGACAAAACACCAAAGAACCGAAGAAACAGCATGAAAAATGAGATTGGTAAACTTTTTAAATATGCCGTCTTTTCTAATCTTGTATTACAGAGAAAAAGCAGAAGAGAAAACTTTTTCCACTTGTCTTGTAAAGAAATTTCCACACTCGCGCGTCTTCTTGATAAAAAAAAAAGACTTCAAAGATGATAATTTTTTTTCTTTTGCATAATATACAGAATTACAAACGAGAGAAATTGAAAATTTACCATGAAAAAGTTTCGCACAAGTATTTGTCATTCTGCCGACAATTTTATCTTAAAAATCCATCAGCAGCAGCACACCAGAATCCTTCTTCAATTTGTGTATTCTATGTAACATAAGACAATAATAATGTATATGGAGAGTCACCGGAAGCCCAATTGGACAGCGGAAAACATTGATAACAATCCAAAGTCACGAGACAATACATTTATGAATTATATTATAGTGTCTATGAGAGGTGCGAAGGTGTTTTAAGGATGTTAGTTTAAGATGAAGAAAAAAAAGGAAACTTATTGAAAATCATACATAAAGATGAACATTGCTGTGTTTGACAATTCCAATCTACAGAAAAACTATATATAAATGTATATGAAAAGAAATCTACATATTAATCAGATTATATTGAAATATTTGTTGAAAGAGATGATAAAATTGCTGATTTGAGGGTGAAAATCACGCAAAATATATGGATTAGACAATAAAAGATAGACAATAAAACATATGCGAAAAAAATGGAGAAAAAACCTAATTTCCGAACATTATCTAGTATTTTATTCCAAAGATAAATATGTATTTTAATTGTATTTTAAAATGAAAAGCATCAAATATACTTCAATCGTCTAGTTTTTGACTTTAACATCAATTTACCGACAAAAAAATGAAGAAACACTCTTTTTGTCTTTCAATCTTAGATCCATTTTATTCTTCCCAGTTTTTATACAATTTTTCAGACTCTGCAATCAAGTCATTTTCACCAAAGTCTAGCATTTCTATGCCTATAAAAAATATTTCTGTCTCAATTTTGCATTTGTGCTATAATAAAATAGCGAAAGATGAAGCAATTTTGGATAGCAAATTTGCATAAAAACACTGAATTCAAGCCAAGAAACAAGCTGGAATCAATTTGGATTTGTTCTTTCATTTTACTGTTGTAGAAAATCATGAAAATTCTGGGAATAACACACTGAGGAATGAATAAGGGAAAAGGAAGTCTTAAATTCGCATCCAAATCTGCTTCAATCTGTCGATTGCTTAACACTAAACCCAATTTATCAGCCCAATCATGCCTTTTCCACCTCAATTTCCATTTTCCACTCACAATTTGTTCGTCAGATCACTCTCGAGGGGCGGCAAAACCGTCGAGATCCAGTCCTTGAGTTGTAGAAGTTCCGATTTCTTCAGCTCGTGCATTGTATTGCGAACAGGAACGAAAGTTCCGCGAACGCCGTGATCCAGCAAGTTGTCAAACGTCTCCTTGCCCCACTTCAGGGGCACGAGAGAGTCCCTGCAAAGGCAGATATCAGTGAAGCAGGAAGACCTCATCGGGAGGAATTCCTTACCGATCGCCGTGGAACATCAGGAAGTTCGGCAGTGATTTGTCCGCATTTGTCCTGGTCTTCAGTGAATCGTACACCACAGAGCCTTTGTTGAGGAAGGCCGAGATGGCAAACACACCGGCCAGTGACTGATTGATGTGGAAGCCCGTGTGCATGGCCAGAGCGCCTCCCATTGAGAATCCACCAACAATTATGCGATGCTCAGCGATTCCGGAATCAATTTCAGTCTTCAGCAGCTCCGCCACAGTCTCGTAGATAGACGCCAGCGACAGCCGGCACTCTTTGGCCTCAATTGAGATGGATTTCCGGTCAAACCAGACATTTGAGAGCTGCAAGAGCAACAGCACAAGTCAGCAATTTCTGCCGGAACGCCAAGAAAGCGCGTTGGAAAACATACTTCACCGTCTAGTGGAGTGTATTTCTGCAGCGGCGCCGTGGGAAAGACGACCTTAATGTGACCAAAGGTCATGTCTTGACCCAGCAGGAAGCGAATCCACTCCACAAGGTTACTTCCAGTGTCGCCTGCGAATCCGGCAAAAGAAGCGAAGAGGAGAAAATCCGCATGAATGTTACGTAAAGTCACAGCACGATTTTCCACTTACCCGAGCCATGAAAGAAGATGACAGTGGCTGAATGTGATTTGCCAGTGGGTGAAAAGGTTTTCTGTATCAAATTCATGGCTCTCACAAAGGATTTTCCCATGAAAAATCAACCACAAAATATTGTTTACTTTTTCACACCAAAATGTCACTGGATTTCTTTGCCGAATCGATGGGCAGCAGCGCCGCCTGCGATTGGTATCGAAACTATACAGATCGGAAGCTCAAATTTGTGATTTTCTCAGGAAAAATCAAATAGTTCAATTCTCACTTCACTTATATTGAAATTGTGAAGAAAATTCTAGTTAAATCTACTCAAGAATCCACTCTTTTTCCTTTCAATGCATTAAAGAGATTGAAAAACTCGAAAAAAAACTGCTTTGCTCGATGTTCGTTATGTGGAGCAATTCAAAACCACCCGGATTCTCATATTCACCACTCCGAGGCTGACAGTCTGGCCAAGACGGGCAGTTGTGTGTGGCTCTTGGAAGTGTGTCGCAATGGCAGACCTGGACAAGTGGATAGAAGTCGTGAAAAACTGCAAATACCTGCCTGAAAATGACCTCAAGAGGCTCTGTGATATAGTGTGCGATCTCCTGATGGAGGAGCCCAACGTCCAGCAAGTCAGCACGCCCGTGACGGTGTGCGGAGACATTCACGGACAAGTGAGTCACTCTTCCCATCCTCCTGGCCACACGAGATGCCCCAAAGCCCTGCGAAAGGGAGCCAGAACACGGGATTCACAGCTAGAATCTGTCTAATAATTTATTGATTGCCCGAGAGAAGAGGAGAAGGAAAGATAAGCGCAAGATTGAGGTTACGAAGTCACTTCGGGTCTTTGTCCTCCGCCGCCAAGTCGATGGTCTTGAGTTCCATCTCGAGGAAGATGCGAATGTTGGGATCCGTGATCTTGCTGATGATCAGCTGTCTCGCCTTCTCCCCTCCGTCCCTGTAGATCTTCGTCAGCTCCTTGGCATACTGAATCCACACGCAATTTGCACATCCGGACATGCAACAGTTTGTCGGCTCCTCCGGAAGGTTCACACTGCAGTATCGCCTGGAGAGAATCACTCTCTGGGCGATGAGCAGAGACCTCAGCAGATTGTGCATTCCCTACATGAGATCTGAAAGGGGGGAAGACACGCTAATTAGTGCTTTTCTTCCCTTGGCAGTTCTACGATCTGGAGGAGTTGTTCCGGTGCGGCGGACAAGTTCCGGACACCAACTACATCTTCATGGGGGACTTCGTGGACAGGGGCTACTACAGTCTGGAGACCCTGACGCGCCTCATGACGCTGAAGGCGCGCTATCCGGACAGAATCACGCTGCTGCGCGGGAATCACGAGAGTCGCCAGATCACGAAGGTCTACGGCTTCTATGACGAGTGCCTGACCAAGTACGGCAACGTGAACGCGTGGAAGTACTGCTGCCGCGTGTTCGACCTGCTCACGGTGGCGGCGCTCATCAACGAGGACGTGCTGTGCGTGCACGGCGGCCTCAGCCCGGAGATCAAGACGCTGGATCAGATCCGGACGATTGATCGCAACCAAGAGATCCCCCACAAGGGCGCCTTCTGTGATCTGGTGTGGTCCGACCCAGAGGACGTGGAGTACTGGGCGCAGAGCCCGCGCGGCGCCGGCTGGCTCTTCGGGGCGCTCGTGACCAATGACTTCATGCACATCAACCGCCTTGAGCTGATCTGTCGCGCACACCAGCTCGTCAATGAGGGCATCAAGTACATGTTCGACTCGAAGCTGGTCACCGTGTGGTCGGCGCCCAACTACTGCTATCGCTGCGGCAACGTGGCCTCCATCCTGAGCTTTAAGACGTCCAAAGAGCGCGACGTGAGGATCTTCACGGCCGTGCCGGACAGCGAGCGCGTCATTCCCACGCAGCAGGCGCCCTACTTCCTCTAACTCCTCCCCGGGAGACACTCACCCGCGTCTCCAGCACTGCGCTCGGGCGCCGGGAAGTGGCCAGGAGTGCGCCTTTATGTAACACGCAGCACTCCTCCGGGATGGCGCAATTTGACAGGCGCGCAGTCACCACAACCCGGCGGACGAGCCCCTCTTCGACGTATTCCTTACCGACAGCGCATTTCTGAGTGGATCTCTACGCGAAAGGCTCAAGCATAGACTAGAATATATGATTTTCCCCCCTGTTTGCAATAGTTCTTAGTTATCATTACTACTTTATATGCAAATGATGTGCTTATGGTTATGATTACAGCATTGTACATTTATTGAAATCATTAAAATATATGAAATTTCGAGTGAAATTGCCATCAACTTACTTTACAGACTCGTTGACGATATTTCGGCAGTCCTTTGAGTCCTTGCTCAGTGTTAATTAACCGGTGAAAGTGGGCTTGGAAGCTGTAGAAGACAATAAAATTCCGTCACAAGAATCCCGCCTTTCGCTATAAATCGCCAGCTGAGTTTCCGTGTTGCCCGATAAAGTGGTGAATTTCTTGGTATATAAGCGGAAGACTCGCGGTAGATTCTATTTACTCTCGCCCAGTGTTTGCGAAGTGTGTCTCTTGTCAGTGGAAAGTGCGGAAAATCTGTGTGAAAATGAGCAGCAAGGTTCCCAGTCTAACTCTCAACAACGGCCTGAAGATCCCCATGCTGGGCTTGGGCACCTGGGGCGTGAGTATCTCTCGAAAACTGCCCACAAATTCCCCTTGTTTCCTCCGAATCCGGAAGAGCCGGTGTCCAATTTCCACGCACTTCCTGCTGCTTTTCCGCGCCTTTTCCACGGGGAAATTGGCTGATTGCACTGCAAGCACGTCCCTTGATACCTTTTGAGGGTGGTTTTAGGGAGAGAACAGGAAAAATCGATGTGAAAGTGGGTGGGAAAGACTTGAAAGAAAAGCCTTGTGCATCAATAAATCACGAAAATTGTCATTTATATCGATATTGAGCAAATAAGAGAGTAATTTTCCGGCTATTTTCCCCCGTCACTCGTGTCCTCTGTCTGCATAGTGGAGAATGTGCGGGAAAAGCGCGCCAAAGTGATCCCCCCCCCACCTTCTGGGCGCTGTCGTGCTGAATCACACTGTCCGGATTCTCCGGATTGGAGAGCACTTATGGCCCAGTAAATTCGATGGGGAGCTGGTGAATAAATTGCATTAAATTGGGCTAATTGTGGGATTTTTCCACGGCGACACCAATTTGGACGCGCGCAAAGACTCTTCACCAATTGCGGCCCGTGGAAATTTCCATCATCAGCGCGCATTTGAGCGCGCAAATCGAAGGGTTGGTCACGGAGGGCAATTGCAGAAGAACAGCGAAAATTCAATTACAATCAATTGAAAGAGTGGCCCGAAAGGCCAATAGATTTATTTACCACGGATTTTCACTCACTTTTCCCCCCCTTTTTCCTCTGCACCGTCAGAGAGTCTTTTGAGATTATGACGATTTGATATGTCTTTGAGCGCAGCTAATTCGCTTGAGACAAACAGAAATAGAAAAGACGCTGATAAAGTGTTTGTCCCAGTCAAAGGCAGAGAGTGTGAATGAGAGAATAATCTCAAATGGAAGTGCGCTTATCAGTGAAGGAGTAAAAAATACTTTGAGTTCTTTCCTCAACCATCTCTCGAAAAAGAATCTCTTTATAATCTCTCTCGTAATCGCGCGCGTTCGAGAGCAATTTTTGCGTGACTTTTATTTTGTCAATCATTCGAGAGATCTTCAATTGTTGTTCCTCGCTTTTCAGTCGCCGCAGGGCGAAGTCGCGCGGGCTGTCAAGGAGGCTCTGGATCTGGGCTATCGCCATATCGACTGTGCCTTCGTGTACGGGAATGAGCAGGAAGTGGGCGACGGCCTGGCGGCGAAGATCGCCGATGGCACGGTGAAGCGCGAAGACGTGTGGGTGACCAGCAAGCTGTGGAACACCTTCCACAGCGCTCATCTCGTGCGTCCGGCGCTGGAGAAGACGCTGCAGAATCTGCAGCTGAAGCAGCTGGATCTGTATCTCATCCACTGGCCGATGGGCTACAAGGAGGGCGGCGAGATCTTCCCCGCGGACACCGACGGGAAGACGCTCTTCTCCGACGTGGACTACCTGGAGACGTGGAAGGGCATGGAGGAGTGCCTGAAGGCCGGACTCACGCGCAGCATTGGCCTGTCGAACTTCAACATTCGCCAGGTGGGACAGAGAGATGAACCCAAGACACGCACAGACTCCGCTAATCGTCTTCTCACTTGTGCAGGTTGAGCGCGTTTTGGCCGCGGGCAGCGTGAAGCCGGCGATGAATCAGGTGGAGTACCATCCGTACCTTCATCAGACGGAGCTGAGCCAGTGGTGTCGCGCCAAGGGCATCGAGATCACCGGCTACAGCCCGCTGGGCTCTCCGGCGCGTCCGTGGGTGAAGTCCGGCGATCCCGTCCTGCTCGAGGAGCCCAAAGTGCTCGAGGTGGCGCAGCGCTGCAACAAGAGCGTGGCTCAAGTCCTGATCCGCTGGCAACTGCAGCTGGGTCACATCACCATTCCCAAGTCCACCAACTCGAAGCGCATCCAGGAGAACTTCGACGTGTTCGACTTCGAGCTGTCCAAGCAGGACATGGAGGATCTCTCCAGTCTCAACAGGAATGAGCGCTTCGTTCCGATGTCCATGTGAGTGTGGCGAAAAGAAAAAAAAGAGGAATTTTGGGGAAAAAAGCCGTGCATCGGCCGGGAATCGAACCCGGGCCGCCCGCGTGGCAGGCGAGCATTCTACCACTGAACCACCGATGCGATGAGTATTTCTAGTGAACAATGTCGCTCGCTTGCTTTCTGGCTCGCGCGAATGGAGAGAAAAGTGGCACATTGATAGAGATAATGACGGTTTTTTTCTATTACAGCGTCTTGTGCTGAACTTTTCTCTGCTAGACTTTAAATCGAGACTTTTGCAGGTTCTTCTGCAAAAAAAATGTGCGTCTTAACGTGATTTTTCATCCCTTTTTTGCAGGTGCGCCGGTCACAAGTATCACAGCTTCGAGAACAACGAATTCGCGGATTAGAGACGCAGGTGAGAGAAGAAGAGTGGCTCGCAAATTTGTATTACTCTCTTGAACACAATGCATTGCCAATACAGGAAGCGTTTTGGATTTAAACTTAAGACCTCTTTATTGAACGGAGAAAGTGTTGAGCAAAAAGTTATCAACAGTTGTACAACCGACTCAGCTTGACTAGCCTGCGAGGCGCGTGGAATGGCCGGCGGACGGACGGTGGGCGGAGCCGCCAGGCGATGGCACACGGCGATGGCGCTACTGCGCACCGCCGGGGGCGAAGCACTCGTCGAAGAAGCGCCCCAGCGAGTGGTACAAGTGCGGCCTCACGCCGGCCAGCCCGTGATCCTCGTCCGGATACGTGAGCTGCTTGAACGGCACATCGTGCTGCTCGAGGCTGCGCGACAGCGCCATCGCCTGCTGGTAGTGCACATTGTCGTCCAGCGTGCCGTGGATGAGGAAGAGCTTCTTGCCCACGAAGTTGTTGTACAGCGTGCTGAGGCGCGAGCGATCGTAGCCCAGCTTATTGTCGTCCACAGAGGGCAGACCCATGTAGCGTTCGGTGTAGATGGAATCTGGGGGGATCAGAGATTTAGAGATCAAGGATTAGGCGCGGGGATTTCATCCTGTACTCACCGTAGTACGTCCAGTCAGTCACGGGGGCGACGGAAGCGGCACAGCTGAGGACCTTTTCACCATCTGCGCTATTCCCATCGCTGGCCAACGCCATGGCGCTGGCATAGCCTCCGTAACTCCATCCCCAGATGCCCATCCGCGAGCCGTCGATGAAGGAGTGCTTCTGCTGCAGCTTCCGCGCCGTCTCCACCTGATCCTCCACCTCAACTGTGCCCAGCTTGCGGTAGATCTGATGCAGGAGATTGTCACCTCTCAAGCCACTGCCTCGGCCGTCGATCTTGGCATAGATGATTGAGCGGTTCACAGCCAGGAATGAGCCCCAGTCCATTGACCAGCGATCCACGACGTTGTAGGAATCCGGACCGCCGTACACGTCGATCAGCATGGGGTGCTTCTTATCACGATCGAGATTCGGCGGCAGCAGCATCAGGACCTTCGCCGTGAAGCCACTGTCCAGCGTGATCTCGTCCTTCTCCACGGTGGGCACGAGATGCTCCTTCAGCAGCTCGTCGATGTCCTCATTCGCCTCCCAGGTCAGCGAGTGGGTCAGCGCGACATTCCCACTGGCGTCAGCCGACCAGGAGTACACGTCTGTCCGCGGCAGCGCCGGTCCCATGGCGTTGACAGTGACGAAGCGGCCGCCGGGAGCGAAGGAGACGCCGAAGTACGTGTGGCCGTCGGTCAGTTGGCAAGTGAGGCACTGCTTCTGGGCGCCGGCGGACGCTCTGATGGCGTACAAGTGCAACTCCTCCGAGTGCGTCTCCGTGTTGCCCATGAAGAAGATCACATTGGCGTCTGTGTCCCACTGGAGCACCTCGGTGACCACGAAGCGACCACTGGTCAGTGCCTGGGAGGTGCCTGAGCTTGTGGGCAGGAGTGTGAGATGGCGATAGCTGCCGGCGTTGCTGCCCTGCGGCTGCGACGCGATGAAGGCCAACTGCGAGCCGTCAGCATTGACCAGCGGCGGATTGAAGAACTCCACCCAGCCATCAGATGACGTCATGCTGAGGATCTGGACGGGGAAATGAAGGATTGTCTGTCTCCTGGACTTGTGCGGAATTCAACTGTACTCACCGTTTGGCAGCTCCCGGAGTCGGCATTGCAGCGAGTCATGTAGCATCTGTTCTGCACTCTGTTCATCCACACGGCCACGAGGCTGTCGTTGGTCGTCCACTGGATGCTGGTGATGAGATGCTCCTCGGCGAGGACTTGCTCGGCCGCCGGCAAATTCACAATGGCCGGCGTGGGTTCGGAAATGCTGGCCAGATTCACCGTGTGCAGCGAGACGGTGGGATTCGGCGTGCCAGCCTTGGGATAGTGGATCTCAATGCCGCGCACGTACTGGAACTCCAGGAGTCCGGGCGGTCCGTAGAAGGGAATGTGCATGAGACGCGTGGGGCGATCGTCGAAGCGCACGAAGGCCAGGTGCTGGCCGTCCGGGGAGAACCAGAGGGCGGAATTGGAGGAGAACACCTCCTCTTCGTACACCCAATCCGGCACACCGTTGTAGATCGCTGGCTCTGTGTCAGAGGTCAGCCGGACGGGATTGCCGCCCACGACTGGCAAGTAGTAGATGTTGTTGGCATACACGAAGACCAGCGCGTTGGACACTGGATTCCACTCGGCGTACATGATGTTCACCTGCTGGCCATTCACCGTCACCGGCGAGATCACGCCAGTGGCCAGATCCACGATGTCGTACAGCGCCAGGAAGCTGTGCCTGAAGATCTTCTTGTGCTGCGTCGCCACGAGCAGATACTTCTGATCCGGCGACAGGTCGAATTTCACTCCCTCCGCCAGTTTGGCGTTCAGCGTGCTGACCAGCACTCGTCGGCTGTTCGCCTCGGCATCGAACAGGATCACATCGCCGGACACGTCGCGGAACAGCACGTGGCGATCACTGATCCAGCTGCCGTTGAATCTCCTCGCCGACAGGCGTCCCGTCAGCACATCCTCCAGCTCAAGCGGCGTCTTGCTGCCCGACTCCTCATCATCCTTGCCCGTCAGCAGGACAACGGGCACAATTATGGCCACGAGGATCACCACCACGATCGCCGCGATGATGGCGATCTTCTTGTAATTCCACTTCCGGCCGGCGTTCTCCATCAGCTCCTGCCAAGAGAGATTTGAGAAGGCAATTTGCCAAGGTGAGTTTCCACTGAGAATTCAACAGATTCGCCCCAATCTTTGCTGACATTCAGAGTATCTTGTGAGGCTTTACGATAAGCTAATCATCATTTTCTTGGAAAAGACAAATATTGATTAAAGTATTTGTTTCTACAGCTGCAAACTTTGCATGGCCAATTAAATTTCTCCATATAAAGAAAATCACTGAACCAATAAGGGAAGATCAATGAATTTTTTTTCCTGTTTTTCGGCTGAAAATTGATTGATTTATCTAATATTTTGTGTATTTTTGGGTATTTAAACCTATTTCAGTGGATCAATATCACCTAATTTATTAATTATTCTACAACCTTTCGATTTTTAAATCATTTCCAGACAATATTCAAGCAGATTACTTGAATATTCATGCGAATATTTTCTCCATGTTGAATTACTGGGTCAAAAAATAAGACAATTGAATTAATTGCTTAAAAGTTTACCTGAATTATCTTTCATTTTGCCACCCTGAAACACGTTTAATTAATAATGCAATAAAACCCGATGAAAACAAGCTCCAAAATGCTCCACTTTGCCCTATTAAAAATGTCATTTCTCGTCTTCACTTTGCTTTTCTGATAATTTTCACATATTTCAGAGTCTTATTGAGAATTAAATTTAAACATCCTCGTCAAATTTCAACACATGAATAATTTCCTTTATTGTGTTTACACGATAAATTATTCTTTGACGTGTTCTGGCAAACTAATAGTGTAATATTTTTCTTTTCTTTGCAAAATGAACCGCGCGATTATCTGTTGGAAATCTGGCGATTTCTCTTCAATTTCAATGATTGTTCTTTTTTTTTTCCTTGCTGTAAATTGCAACTATCAAGACTTTCTTCCAAAAATTACATAATTTTTTTGAGATGAAGAGCGCGCGATGGAAAATTATATCACACTTTTGCTGTCTCTCATTTTCTTCCTCATTTTGCCGCGACACACAGAAAACTGTGTCGCGCATTTCACGCAGCAAAAGTGTACAAAGCAAAGAACTCAATCTTTATTGATCGTTAAAAGAGAAGCAATGGTCAGAGAGATCTTTTTTTTCCCCAGCCAACTTGATCTTTATTAATAGTTTGTTTTCATGCTGTTCGAAAGTAAAAGTTTTGTGCGACGCTGAATGGAGATTTTCATCTCCATCAACTTTGTCTCTTGTTAATCCAATTCGTCCACTAAATACACACCTTTTCCCTCCATCAATTAAAATATTCATAAGGCTCTCTGTGGAGCGCTATTGTCCTTTGTCCTTTGATCTGTCAAGCGCACAAAGGTGTGAAAATGTAATTTCGTGTGCTCTCGACAATTCAATAAACGAGAGACTCCAGCGACTAAAAGTGCAAGACGACAGACGGGATGGACGGGATGGCATCAATTCATCATTATTGATGTGCCAATAAAAATTTTACAGATAATCCAACGTCTTTGCTATCGATTTCTTACCTCTCGTCCGTGTTCGTGATTAATTTATTGCGTAGCGATAAAGGGAGTTTTCTGGCTGTGCAAAATTCGCCACTAAGTCGCTATGATAGTGCTTTCGGTTCAAGTGTTTTCAACTCATTGTCAATCGGAATTGTCGATAAAGTGTGACAATCGTGACAATTGTATAAGTTTACTCTGAATTCTTGCAAATCAATGAGGAATTCGAGGAATTTTCTGGCCTTTTCCCAAAGTGGAAAATGACAAAGTAATGAAATTAATTTTGCTTTTATATTCAAAACCATTCAAACAAAGGTTTGCACGCTCAGAATAATATTATTTGTCATTTGTGGAAGAATTATCGAGAAATCGTGGAAAAAACCCCCGATTCCCTGATTTTAAGCACTGCTTGGTGTCGTTGTGCATGAAAAAGGGGAGTTTTATGATTTTACTGACTTTTTTCTGAGAGATATTTATAAAAAAATTAAATGTTTCACAACTTTATCATTTCAAGGGTGATTTTTACAAATAACAATTCTTTGGAAAGCTGATAAAATTCTCTAAAAGTCTTCTGGACACACCAAAGCAGGATGTCTTGGGTGAAATGGGCTGAAATGATTGCCGAAGAGACACTTAAAATACATCACTAATGGTGCCCTAATTGAAAAGTCTTGCAAGAATGCTTTCTAAGAGACTTTCTAGATAAGCTGAAAAGTGGGCAAAAATAGAGTGAAAAAAATACACGAGAAATATTTTAGGGAATCCGGAAGTGATAAAAACAGCGACACTTCTTGTCGCTGCGTTGAGTTTCTCTTTGCCCACAATTGAACGTGAGTCGAAGATCAATTTGTTGAATTTGCCCGCGGAGAAAATGCGCGGCGTGCGAGCAAAAGTTACCTGATCACTTTTGGTGACTTCTACAGACGTTCCACTAGACATTCTAACAAATTTTTTTATTCACTCCCCCAAAATTAACACACCCGCGATTTTCTTCACGCCTTCAGCGCTGTGCACAGTCGAGATCCGCGGAGGCACTGAACGTGTGGATGGAAGTTCTTGGCGCATTTGCCATCCATCCGCAGATGAGTGTGTGTGTTGTTCGTGAGGGGCGGCTAATTGGCCGAAATGCAGCCGAGACTATATTGTGCATAATTGCACAGTTTTTGCCAAGGTTCTCTGCATATTGCGCGGCCTAACCCAAAAAACAGTCTCGATTTCCCGCCATTTCTCATCAACATGCAAAATCCGCACTTCCTGCGCGCCTCTCTCTGCATCTCGAGTGCACATTCGCCGCCCCCGCAATGGCCAATTGGCCGCCTCCTCATCGGGCTCTTATCACTGATTGAGCTCGAGTGTCGCTGAGTATCTCTCGAGTTGGATTAAAATTAAATTTTCACCACCACGAGAGACTCTCTCGCGCGCTCTCGTCTTTCATAACACCTCACAATGGCATCATAAATTTTAATTGATTGGCCTGGGCGAGAGTGAATGCGGGACGCACTCGGGAAATCCCGACTCTTGAGCGGCCCGCAATTATCACATTCTCCACACATCTTTGCCTCTCTCTCTGCTGTGGCGGAAACACAACAACAATACTGGTTTCTGTCCCTGTCCAAGGAGAGTCACTTCTGCCCCCAAAATCTCACCTCCAAATAGCGCCAAAAGCCTCACACTTCCAGCAACGCACAGAATCTCTTTCGCCTCCCTCAGGATCCCAGCCACAAACTCCGCGGACGGATTCTCTCCTGTCTTGCTTGTCGTGTGTCTATATTGAGAATCACGAGTGAACGGGACACGGGCAGCACATACTCGGGCGAATTCCGTTCACTTCCACTCACATCCAGCGACTGGGAGCTCGTTTGCAGCGGAGGAGTGCGGCTCGTGGCCACAACACCGCCTGACCCACTCTCGCAGTCGCTCTCTTGCCCGGAGAGCGCTCTCTCGCGTGGCAACAGATCGAGGATTAGCCGCCAAGAGGGTTTTGCAATGTTTCAGCGGAACATTCGCAACATTTCACAACACATTCTGTGCGCGCGTGTGACGGAATTGAGACGGAAAATGCTCAATTCACGGGACAAATGCGCTCCAATCGTCCGCCAAGGATAGATTTCCTGGTCATTATTCTTCTGTCCGACTTCTGACACCACAAAAACTTTAAATTTGTAGTCTGTTTCTACATTAAATGCCACATTATAATGAATCTCTTAAGTTTCCATCCGATATTTCTGACCATAACCTACAAACAGCTCTAAAAGAGCTTCAAAAACTCAGTTTGGAAGAGTTTCTAAATCACAAAATCATCTCTTATGATTTGTCAATAAACTCAAAATTCTTGATTAAGAGTCAAAATCGTGCAGAAAATTTTAAAAATCAACATTTTCCAAGATTACCTTACTCTTTTTGAGGTTATGTTGCATTTTAACACTATTTACAGTAGTTTTTGCCATCAAGAGTTCAGAATAGCAATGTTTATTGCATGTAAATGCATAAATACTACTTATGACTAACGAATTGTGTGATTTTTCTAAACATTTTAATGATAAGAAGCACAAATTGACCCACTAAAATGAATTTTTATACCCAAAACAATACTAATTTTCATGAATTTCATGAAAATTTATACAAAACTTTGGTGAACACTCCAAAGATAAGCTTTCAATTTGGAAGAAAAAGTTTTGTTCTGCGTGAAACTTCAGACTTTTCACTGTATTCCTTAAATTTAGTATTTTTCCCACACTTTCTAAGTTAAATTTGAATTTATATTTGACCATTTTCACCATGAATTAATTGAATGCTTGAAGAATTGAATAATTGAAGATGATACCTCATTGTTTGAAGTTATTTCGCACTTTTCTGACACCATTTATCACGATTGAAAAACTTTCAATTGCACTTTGACATCAAAGAGTTCAGCAGAAACAATTTATAGTGTTATCTGTCTGTGCTGGAAATGAGAGAATCTTTAAAGTTTCAACATCATTCAGAGTTTGCAGAGACAAAGAATGTTGCTTTGCGCAAGGAATCGTGATTGTTCTACTCTTTGTGATTATATGAGAAAATCGCTCAAATACCTGCTTAAGTACACTAAAATGTCCATGCAATAAAAACCGATAACATTGAAACTCTCTACCTGGGTTCTTATATGCAAACATTCATGTGTGCTTTTAATTAGAGAAGCCACGCTTGAATTGCTGATGATAAGAAAACTATGACGTGATTAAGTATTAAGCAGATGTTTTATTATGTATTTTTTGGCAAAGTCCGGAAATTGCACTTCTGCAAGTCTTATGAAAAATGCACAATTCATGGCTGGTAAACTTCCCACCTAAGCTAATTGTTGGCTCTGTGAATTCAATTAGGCCATGCTAATGTCTCTCTGAAACCGTGTGAGCACTTTTTCTGAAATGTTGCGTGGAATATTGGCCAAGTGAGTGTTTTTTCACACTCTCTCTCTCTCTCTCGCTCTTTCCTCTTGATAAACTCGGCGCACTTTCCGTCGAGCTTTCACTTTTTCGCGGCCACACAGAGAGTCTCTCTGATCTGTGTTTCTTTCCCTCCGCGCGCGTCCCAGAACTCACCTCCTGCAGCGTCCAGGCGAGCTTCATGGTGTCACTGGACTCGTGGTCAGGATCGGATTGGGCGAGTGGATGGTAATTTCCCGGCTGCACTTCGAATGGACGGATTTTGCTGCTGAACACCAGAAGCCAGTGGTGCATTTCTTCCACATGAGCGCACCAGAAAAACTATCACTCTTTTGTGGATTGCAACACTTTTCCCGTCTCGGAAAATTTCCTCGCGATTCGCACGGCAATTGAGCACGATTCGGTCGTTCTGGAAGCACCATTAAATTGGTCGCTTCTGTGCTATATTCTCTCTCCGGCCTGTCCCCGAAAAGCTGTGTGTGCGCGGGAAAACGTGTCGCACCTGTTAAAATTCGATGCCACTGAGGAATTTGCTTAGACACTATTTACTCGCGGAATTGTGGCCTCATTGTGGGCTTCGCAGTCTTTCCACTCTATTCGGCGGGAGGTTTATATAATTTCTATACCTTTTTTCCCACTTTGTGCACAATTTGCTTGTCGAAAAGGTCGCTTAGTCAAGCCGAACCGCTCTTAGCATCCCACTTTTGTGCTCTTCTTCTCCTTTCTCTCTCTGGGACAAATGGCGTTGCAATTGAAGCGGAATATCAGCCACTATCGCCGCGGCAGTGCGACTTTTCCCGCGGATCAGCGCCGACTGACGCCAGTGAAACGCGGCTGAGATTTGCCAGAAGACGCGCGCGATCGTGGTGGAAGTCAATCATGAAGCGGCATTTCGCTCGCCCATCTTCCAATCCCACCACAATCGAAAGTCGCGCTTCAGGGCGCGAAGCTTTCACGAAATCTTGCGGAAAGTTTCGCGCCAGAGACGATAAAGAAATATCAACAATTGGAGCCGCTCAAGGGGGAAATAATACAGTCGGATTTGCTTCTGAATTCTTGCAGCCTTAAGATTGCTCTCGTGACGAATTGGCAAAAAGCGATGGGATTTTGTAAAATAAAATTTATTCACCTTTGCAATATGTAACAAATCGCTTGAAAGACATCATCGAAAACAACACGATCAATAGAAACGTTCTCTAAGTATGTACAAATTGTCGTCTAAAAACTCGTTGCACAAGTCGTCTTAGGCGTCACTTGGGCGCCGCGAACACCGAGTCGGAGCTGGAGTTGAGATCACTGGCGTCGCCGTTCGCGTGGCCGCCGGCGTCCTGGAACAGCTCCACGAACACCGGACAGAACTCCGACGCCGGCCCGCCCCACGTCCAGCCGCGCGGGATGGCCATGTGGCAGAGGCCCTGGCGCACCACCGCCGCGTGGCCGGTGAGGCGGTCCGAGGTGCCAGCGCGCACCGGTGGCACCTTGGCCAGGAGCTCCTTGTCGAACAGCGACTTGCTCTTGTAGATGGCCTCGCGGAACGCGTTCCGGTGCACGGGCAGCGACTCGCGGCACAGGATGTTGCACTGACTCGCCTCCTGGGCGTCCGCGTCGAAGCTGGTCGTTTTCACATCCAGCATCTTGTAGTACTTGGTGTCCTCCACGTCCACTGTCATGCCCAGCCGCGCGTCGGCACCCTTGGCGCCCGCCTCCCAGCCGGGCCAGCCCTCGCGCGCACGCGGCCGCACGCCCGAGAAGTCGCCGGCCACCAGAAAGACCTCCTGGTGGCCACGCTGTGCCGCCACGGCGCTCAACACGGCGTCGATGCGCGCCAAACTGAAGTGCTTCAGGTAAATGTTCAGCACGGACACGCACCATGTGGACAGGCGGAACGTGGCCAAGTGCGCGGCCGGCGGCACGCCGTCGAAGGAGCCCTCGAGGCAGCCCTTGAGGTCCAGCGCACGCGACTCCGCCTCCAGGAAGTCGCACTGAGCGGCGTCGTACAGGAAGCCGAGGCCGCTCAGGAGACTCTCGCGGCCAGAAGTCTGGAATTTCCACTGGCGCGAGTTTTCGCGCCACTCGATCGTCCGCCGCAGGCTCGGATGATTCAGCTCCTCGCATATCCTGGCCAGCGCAGAGCCATGGAGGACCTCTTGGAGGCAAATCTGCAGAGGAGAGAGGAAAAAGCTTGATTAATTGGGAAATATTGCAACATCGACAAGTGAAAAGCATGAATCACATCAATTTTCAGCTGATTTTATTAGTCAGTTATTTAAACGAACTGGCAAAAGTGGATTTTCAATAGCCAAAAGTTTGCAATAATCAAATTTCCAAATACAATTTGTACATTTCAATCAACACAATTCATATTTTTGCTAGGAATTTCAAGAAATATTGATTAAGAAATGGCGGAAAGCATGTTTTCAATTTAATCTTCAAGAAGTCATTGGAAGTGATAATTGACCACGAATGAACCTCTCAGTTGAGAGAGCAAAACATCAATTTCACTATCTGAACTGCGGATTATCGCGCGATTGTGCGCAGGCCATCAAGAGCGCACCTGCGATGGTCTGGCCAGCACGTGGCGTCACAATCAAAAGTCGCTTGAATAATTGAATATGAGGCATTCCACTGTGGAGTCATCTTGATAAGGAATAATTTATTGACATTGAGAATAAAGGGAATTCAATAGTTCGTTGAATACATTGAACTCCGGGGTGATTTGTACTCACAATTGATAGTTTATTCTCCAATATTGTCCTGCAGACCACTTCCAGCACGCCCGGATTCTCCGCCTTGGCCTTCGTGAGTCTGTCCAGGTTCCACGAGGCGATCCTGATGGCTCTCCTGCCGCCGCGGCTGAACTGAAACTCCCCCTCGACGGTCGGCCGGTGCGAATACGCGCCCAGCAGGTCGTAAATGTCATTCACAGGCACATTCCGGAAACCATTGAGTCCCGTCAGCGGCGTCCCATTCATCCGGATCGCCGACACGGACAGACTCTTTCTGTTCGGCGCCAGGCTGGGCCTCAGGCCGCCGTTTCTCACCGGCGTGGCGCCGCCCGAGGATACCGTGGACGCGTGTCGATGCAGTCGCGGCGTCTTCGGTGTGGCCTCGTCATCGCTGAGACTGAGCAGCGCCCTGATGGCGCCCACGCGCGCCGGCGAGAGCCCCTTCACGCGCCCCAGGTCGTCTAGTGACTTGAAGGGGCCCTTGCGCTTCCGGTACTCCACCACGTTGGCCGCGAGCTCCTGATTCAGGCCGCTCACCTGCTGCAGCTGGAATACCGTGGCGGTGTTGATGTTCAGCGGCCCCGGCCTCGCGGGCAGCGCGGGTTCGGACAGCAGGGACTCAACGGAAGGCGTTCTGCAAGGGGAAGATTAGGAAATCAGAAAACAACCACCAGAATTAAAAGCAACAAAGAGGAATCACAAGTGTTTATATTGCAGTAATAAGGAGACTAACAAAAGCCATCAAGTGAGGAGATAAAAGGAACGTGATAAATGAGTATTTTTCTCGAACCACCTTTTACACCATTTCTCACATGGCAAAAAATACATTTAAAAGTGATATTTAGCGCATTAAAGCCCAGTTTGTGGGTTTTTCCTCGAAATCGAACCTTCATTTCATATTTTAAGCGGATTTCAGGGGCGACAAGGGCAGGAAACTCACCTGGAGCTGAGAGATGATCCCTGGAGGGAGCCCTGCTTCCGTCGCACGCAGATCTCCGGCCGGATCTGCTCCAGCTTCACAGCGCCCATGCCCGAAACCAGGGCCAGGTCGTCGATGCGCTGAAATTGGCCGCCGATGGCCGCTCTGTGGTCCACAATGCACTGCGCCACGCGCCGGTTGACGCCGGGCAGCGTCATGAGTTGCTCCACGGTGGCCGTGTTGATGTTGAGCGCCTCCAGGCTGCCCATGTGGGGCGCCACGAAGGCAGCGCTCAGAGGCGTCTTGTGGCGCTTCCTGCGCATGAAGGGCGAACGGAATCGCATGCGACTTGGGGTGCCGCCAACGCTGGCGCTGCGTCCACTGCGCTGGCCCAACTGCTGACTAGAGGACTGGCCCATTGTGGTGTCACCCGGGGCGCTATCGAGTTGATTTATTGATAAGTCAGCCTGATAAGGCCACCGCACAAGTGTCTTCCGCAACACTTGAGACACAACCAAGTTCTGGACTTTGTGTGGGCGGCGCTCGACAATGTATTGGGGCAGATTAATTCACTTCTCAATCACAACTTCTTGCCACAAGATCACGCTTCTGTATCAATGCAAAATGTTATAATAATAATCTTGTGTGGAGAGAATTGATGCAAGAGAGTCCACAATTGACCCTCATTTCTCAACAACGACACAACATTATATTGCCTCAGAGACAGAAAAGGAGAATTCTCAATGCTTTGATAACTTATAATACGCATTTCCCAACGGATTCCAACACAAAATTTTTTGGGGCCGCGCACGAAAGCCACAAAGAAAATCACGATGACAATCGAAAAAATTGAGAGAAGCCTTTCATGATTATTAAGCTATATCACAAGAAGCAACGGAAAAGTGATACTGTTCATTGTCTTACAAAATACAACGCGCCATTCGAGGCTCTTCGACAATACATAAATAATAATTTGAATATGTTATATTCCAAAAGATGATGTCACGATTTCTTGTGCAATGGATTGTGTATGTGTCAAGCGCATGTTTGCCATACAATTTTCCGCAGAAAAACGGTCATTTTCCTACCATCAATTCTTAATGCGGTCACAATTGAGACTGAGCGATGATGTGCCATCGCACATAATTTATGTGAAAGTTTATCGATTGCAAGCTCAGCGCGCCAGACACTTTTCCGGCAGTGGAAATTGCATTGTGAGCTTAAAATAGATTGTTTTTCCCATCTATTTACTATGCCTCTTCCACCTCATGGCAAGCCACATGCGAGTCTCGGCGACTTCTAATCAATCGAGAAGCTCATTAGCATTCAGAATAGCTGAATTATTAGTCAACGTATCGACTGGCTCAGCCTACTCACACCGTTTCCAGATGCTTACGCTATTCTACAGTGCACAGCAATTGAACAGGCACATCTCGACGGCAACTCTGCTCTTGACAGTGTTTGATTTGCCATTTAGAGTGTGGATAAAGTGTATCGCGAAAAGTGTTTGTCTTTCATTTTTGCAGAGAGATGCAAAATTTCAGCAAAGCATTCAACAAGGTTTAATTGGAGATAATAAAGCTTCAATATGGAATTTTTTCATAATTCAATTTACGTCTTTTCCACTCTGTCTCAATAAATAGTCTGAGAGATCGTTGACTTGATTTATTTTGCTGACTTTTCTATATTTCATATTCAATTTCCTGAGAATGTTGAGAATATTTTTCACACACCATGGAAAATTCAAGGAAAGTGAGTCTAAGTTGAAGCATAGCCAAACAGAAAATCAACCAGAGTTTTATTACACTCTGAAAAATTCCTGTTCACATTTTCCCATTCATTCTCGATGCTACAGACGTGTGTTCGAATCCCAACCACTTATAAATGTTCAAACACAGCAGAGTGCAAAAATAAGCCTTTCAATGGCAAATTGGAGCAGCCCAAGCGGTTGCTGTTGAATGTCCCAGCTGCAATATACGCTTCACTGGAATTGTCTTGCGCTCTGTTCCTGTATATATAAAGGTGAACGTTAGAACCACTTATGGTTGGTTGGAACTGACAATCTGACACGGTAAAGCAAACACTTGTCTAGATATCTCATTTAATTGAGAATACTGTGTTCCCCTCAATAGGATGTTAAAGCCATATTAAGTGTAAGTAAGTAACGACTAAAAAATCACTACAAAACGTTGAGAGTGTTGAGAAATTTCTCATTGGAGAAGCATCTGGAGTTGCACCGAACACAGTGTCGGCGAGTGTAAGCGCTGAGATGTTGACTGAGAGTGGAATTTGAGTCACTCTCAAGTTCATTTGCGTTCCCGTGCACTGAGAATCTCTTGAACTTGCGCCATGTGTGGCACAGAATTGGTGAATGAATTTTCGTGCTCACACATCAGCTGAGGCCGTTTCGAATGGTGTCCCAAATTGGCGCTGTGCGTTCCCTCGGCGCACTCTCGCCCCATCAACCGAGCCTCGGTGCGTTATCACTGCGACAGTCCACACATAGATATGCACAGAAATTGATTGGACAATGCTCTCGAGTGGCTCCAAAGTTCGCCTCCCTTGCACCTCTCGATACACACAGTTTGCTGACACTGTTTTGAGTTGAAGGTGATTTTCCAGCGCGATGGAAAAGTGCCTATAGTCAATGCCATGGAGCTTTTTGCTGCCTTTTTTGCCCACCTGTTTTAAGGTCTCGCGCGAGCAAGGTGAGGCGAACACAGCTGAAAACATCACCCGATCGCGGGATTTGCATTATCACAGCCGAGGCGCATGAGATTGATATGGAATTTTACGGGCTCTGTTTCTTGGGACATCCTAGTGACTCACAGCGGAGCCAAGGACATGAGAACTCTCCCTTTCTCTGGCGGCCAAGGCCTCAAATGATCGGCTCAGATAAGGGCGATTTGCGTGCTTTCGCCCGAACACTCACTTCCGGAGTTTGGGACTTGAAATGTTGAAATTTCGCACTCAATGACGCGCGATGACTTCATCGGGAATTAGTGGGAAAAAAGTCCATGTCGTCACTGTGTCAGTGCCGAAGATTGGCGAGAAAGTGATGATTGTGAAGTGTCTTGGCGATTTTCTCCCCAAACATTGTCATTAATCAGTGGAAAGTGGCGATTTTGCTGCCTTCTTTTCTTGCATACCTTCACTTGATGAAAAGTGTCCCAAGATGGCTTTGACAGGACAGAGAGTTTTCACACGATTTTTTTCTCACACATTTTCACCCACACTTGGCGCTCTTTTTTTTACGCAACAATCACATTTAGCAGGACATCACAGTGAGGCGTTTAGGGAATGATTTTGTGCAGATGTGAGGGCCTTTATTGGGAGGACTAAAAGCACAGGAGACACAAATAGAAGATCTCTTCACGGCACACACAAAACTCAAGTGACACTCCAAGTTGTCACAGTGATGGCACGCATTATTGCAGTACTGCTAGAATTGCACGCAAGCTTAACGAAAAGCGCGCGCAATGTGTTGAAAGTTTGAACGGTGTCCCACTTTTACTCCGTTTCCACGGAGAATTGCTTGGTGTTCAAGCCTCCGGTGCCTCCTGTGGCTTGATCCTCGCTGATTCTGAACTGCACGAGGACGATCAAGTACGTGGTCATTGAGGAGACCATCTGCAAAGAAAGGAGAAGTGAATTTACCGCGAAAAAGTTGAGAAAAGCCACACTCACAGCAGTTATAACGGACAAGTCGATGGTGAAGAAATTGTAAGCGTGCAATTCCAGCTTCTTCACCTTCATGATGTCCAGAATGTCCTTGATCTTGGACCTGAGTTGGTCGTCTGAGGAGTTGGCTCTGGCCTGAGTTAAGGACACCACGGCTTCTGTCCACTTGAGCTTCACCATTTCGCCACTGGACAGAATTGCCCAGAACTCAATGGCGTGCAGGGCGACGAGAGAGAAGCTGAAGCTGACCAGGATGTCGGCACTGGGATTGGCAAAATTCTGGCGAATGTGGGTGATGATGTAGTGCATCTGCACAATGACACAAACGAATCCTGAGAGGAATGTTATGATGATCTGCTTCCCGAAGAAGACGTTCAGCCTCTCGTTCAGGTTCTGCAGGATTCCCACGATGTCGGCAACGAGGGGAGTTGTTGATGGGTTCACAGAGGCCACGGGGCGGACTTTCATGGAGTTCCCATGCTTCCCGAGGAGCGACATTTGAGCCATGAGGGCGTCCAACTCCCCAGACAAATTCGCCCTGATGGACATTCTGAGGAGTTGAGTTCTGCTGCTGAGGAAGGACATTGCGCCAACGAATTGAAAGTTGAAGACCATGAGAGCGAACTTGGGCAGACAGAAGGATGCCCAGTAGAAGAGTGTCCAGGAGTTGCTGAGATCGACGGTGTTGTAGTAAGTCAGCGTGGCGACGGTTAAGCCACACGAGATGCTCACGACAATGAAGAGGATGGACATCCTGCCGGACACTCTGTTCACCTTGGTGTAGTTCACGCCGAAGAAGTCCTTGAGCTTCTCATCGCACATCGCGAAGGAGTCCAGAATTTCCTGTCCCAAGTCGCGATTCTTCAGGGCGAACGCAATGACCATGATGAAGGCAAAAGCATTGGGACCGGATTGCAGCCAATTGGCAGCCACGGATATGCTGGCGGATTGATCCCGATCCCGGAACATGCTGACCAAGCATAGAGCATAGACGAATAGTATGACTAAGGATGGCAGGAGTTGCAGGACGCTGGTTGTGCGTGCTTTCCTGGAATTGCCACTCAAAGAGCTGCGACCAAAAGGTCTCAAGCCCAGCACAATAGCCAGCAAGTTGAAGGCTCTGGTGTTCTCCATCGCGAAAGCTCTCACAAAGCACTGGCAAAAGGATGAGCTTCGGCGTGAGGAGGAAGTTAACAAAGCTCGTAATTGATCAATTACATTAGCGCACAACAAAAAGTCCATTATGCTATTGCACAACGATTAATATGTTAATATGGCATTTTATTACTTATAGCTACTTTAGCTATGACTAACATAACAACTCATGAAGGAACTTCTCCGGATTGAACACAGTCCGCCTCATTCTGAAGAGCTCCTCGTCTTTGGCGCGCCACAGCTTCACATCGAAGGCTGGGAAGAAGAACTTAATCTCCTTCTCAGCCGTCTCCTGAGAGTCTGCAATTAGTAATTAGGTTAAATCCAGAGGAGTTTGCCGGCAATTTGGAATCTGCTGAACCTGATCCGTGGGCTGCATTGCGAGTATCTGAAATGCCAAATCTCCCTCTGATGCTCTCCGGATGGGATATGATGGTCTTGTAGACTTTTGTGGGTCCCAGCAATTCTCGCCACTTGGCAATGGCATTTTCCCTGGCCAGGATGTACACATCTGACGGTCCACTGCTCATGAAAGTCACCAGGCGCTGGTAGAAGAACTTCTTGGAATGTTCAGCATAGAAATCCTCAGCGGAGGAGCGACTGATGCACACCCGGTCGTTCTTAACGACCTGAAAGTCATTTCTGAGGATGACATCTCGGATCTTCGTCAAGGCACAGCTGTTCTTTATCACGTGAGGCTTAATAATGGCTAGAGTGAGTTCCAGAGGCTTTTCTCTTATCATCTCTCTGGCATTCTCGCTGAGGAAGCGCACTAGAACTTGACTTGATGTGAGGTTAAACTGGGTGTAAACAGCTGACAAGCTTGCAAGCACTCACTGGCATGACAGTCAGAGTTGAGGAGCGTACTCAGGGGTTTTCTTTTGACTGGTAACAGCTTCAAGGGATCAGAAGTGGAATGAGAATGCGACGATCTTGTACGAAAATATGCTAAGAAAGTCAAGAGAGTGAATGCACTTTTGAGTACTTCTCTCTCTCTCTCTCTCGCTCTCTCTGCTTGATATCCCCAAAGATCGCGACAGAGAGTGGGGACGATCCAGAGAGAGAGAGGGAGAGCGCGATCAGTGGAGTGTGCAAGAGACAGGGACAGAAGACAAAGTGGGGGACTTTGACAGCTCCACCATGACTCTCTGAGAGTGAATGTATGCAGTTTCTTATCTCCTTTTCTCTCTCATTCACAGTCCGACTCTCTCTCACACGTCGCCCCATCTCTGTCTCTCGCGAGAGAGCGAGAGACACTCGCGCACGAGAGATTTAATACAAAATAAAATATTTGAGGAAATATCAGTTGGAAGCTTTAACTCAGAGAGGTTAGCCGCGTGTGCTCAATTTCCTTCTGTTACATTTTTTCTCATTTTTTTGTAATCCATTCAATTTCATCGTTTTCCTCACGAAATTTTTTCGCTTTTTCCGTTTTCCTACACTTTTTTAACCGCTCTCTCGTCACTTTTCAACCTGGTCAAGAGCGGGAGTGCGCGGAAAATTTGAACTTGGCTGCGGAAAAGTGGTGAAAATCACACTGAAGAGTTGTGTTGGAAACAGACAATAAGAGAAGATAGAAAAAAACGTCTTCAGATGGAAAAGTGAGTGGGAAAAGGTCATTCCTTCGCGCATTTTGTGAAGTGTGTTGATTACAAGAATATCTGCGCGCAATTTATCGTCTCGTTTTACAGTTGATAAAAGAGAAAGAAAAAGGACATATTGTTTGAGGTTTATATATGCAAAAAGGATATTCATTTGAGTTTCTGTGTGTAAAATCCGTTCGGCTGCAACAACATCAAATTATCTGCAAATGTGAGTTGATGTTTTGCTCACTAACAGTATTTTTCATCGTGCCAATTTCACTACAAGAAAACCGTCTGTGTGTCTGTGTTGGAGTTTCTCTTGGAGGCGCAAAATTTCCACCACCAAAAATTTCTAATCCACTAAATGAAGCTTCAATGTGATGAAGCAAGACTTTTCCTCTATGTGGAGATTTTCCTCTATCGTGTTGATGATCCGCACGTCATGCAAATTGAATGAAAATATATGTGCCTCTATTTTTACATGGGCAAAGAAGAAAAAAAAAGAAAAAGAAAAACCGAGCGATGTCTCATTAAAGGTGGCAAAAGAGAAGGCACACATAATAAGCCATCAGTTGATATACAAAAAAGCTCCGTAACAACTTTTCTTTCTGTTGCGTGAAACGGTGCACAGCGCGAGTGTTTCACTGACTGACTAACTTAGTGCCCATGCCATTCCAAACACTCCCGCGACGAAGGGCGCGAACGTCCGCCGAGGGGCCGCTGGAGCGTCCCAAGGACGAACAGGAAATGTCCCACGGCCGTTGACGCGCTGACCCAGAATTGTCGCGCGCCTGATAACACACACACACTCACTGTGTTTGTCTCTTGTCAACAAGCCACCCAAAAGGGACTCTCACTTTGGGCAAATATTGGCCGAATCAATCATGATTCACATTCAAAGTGTGATTATGGATTCAGTTTTGGGTGCCTTTCAGGCTGAGATAAGACAGAACTAATCCATCACTCGGAGGAGGAAGAGAAATAAAAACCGTGATGCTTTGTGGATCGGTGAAAAATGGTCAAGAAGTGACGTCAGATCGCGCTGCCATTTTGGAAATGGATCTATTTTATATTTTACTATGCTCAAATCATATTGGAAGCTTCTTCGGTGGTTGAGTGGATTATAAATGCGGCCCCGCGGACTTTCAGTGATCTCTGCACTGTTTTGCTGCAGTAAAGGTCGCGATTCTAGGATTAGAAAGCTGAAGAAGTGTTTTTTTTATGAGCATGAAGAAAAGATGATTGTGCAGAAAATTTAAATCCTTTCTTGAGCTGAAAAATCGTTGAAATAAAAAATTAGAACAAATTAAATCTAAACAAATATGTAAATTTATGCACTGAAAATAAGAAAAAAAAATATGATAAAACTAGAATTCCAATATCTGCCAAAGGTTTGTGCAAAACATTTTTCTAAATACAGTGAAAAGAGCTGAAAATTGTCAGATTTCTACCTTTGATGGCACATTTTGACGCTTATTGTGAATATTATTGAGCAGTCCAAATCCGCCTTTGAGCAATTTCTCAAGCATTTCGGCACGTCGAATTGCTCAAGTCGCGCGATACTTCCTGGAGAATTTAGATCATTTCCATACAGACTCGAAATTGAGTGTCGAGTCGATACTCGAGAATGTGACCTAAAAAGGAGCATTTAAGTGATTTTTTGCAGTCGCGCGCGCGAGCTTTTTTGTCACGGACGGGGGCCACTTTTTTTTCTTCTGTACACACATCGCAAAGCCAGACTTGGATGATCGGAGAAATATCTTCCGTGTATTACATGAAATTACCATTTGGGTGAGGCAGGGCCGGAGATGGCATGAAGAGAGTCACACTTGAAGAAGAATGAATAACAATGAGTCTTGGACGGAACCGAAATACAAAATTAATATTTATAAATTGTTAATTTTATGTCCTCCTCATCTCGTGGTCGAGAAAATAGCGATCAAATTCGGTCTTGGCTCATCGCCTGAGAGGTGGCTGGATCTCTCTCTCGCTCTCTGTGGTGTGTAAAGTCCGATAAAAGAAATTGGAGGGAGAGAATATATAAAATTTATATTCCGAATGGAGGAGAAAGACAAGAAAAAACGACTATTTTTCGGGTGGCCGCCAGAGAGCCCCGAAAAAGTGCTCAGCCGCGTAACGGTTAAAGCGCGCGATCATCTGGCTTTTCCTCTTGGCTTTTGCAAAAATGCGTGTGGCTCATTTTGCCCAGAATTTGATGATCGCCAAAATGAGCTGCGCGCGATCTCACCAATCTCCTAAGCCCGCGCGCTCTCTCACCTCTTTCTCACGCACATTCACGCACTCTGCCAATTACTGCCTCGATTCTCTTTTTCGGGGTTAATTGAAAGCCCAACTCTCGGTTTGGCGCTTTTTGCATGCGCCACTTCTAGAACGGGCGCGTCCATTCTTTCCGCGCGCCAGAATTATTGGGTGAAAATCAATTTTTCATCAAGTCTCTGGGGGCCAATTGATGGATTCTCTACGCTAAGCAAATTGGCACGGAAGTTTGCGGGTCGCATTTCTTCAGCATGGCAACCACTTAACAGCAAAGTGAGGAAATGGAGGGCCATAAATTTGGAGCATTAATTGACTTTCGGACATGTGAGATTTGAAGAATGGCCGCTGCGGCGCTCTAAATCACCAATATAATTGATTTTAGCTGTGAAGAAAGCCCACATTTTCTGGTGAAGAAGATTCTGCGTGGTGGAAATTAGTGTTTAGTGTGCTTAATCGCTTATTCGTTGATGTGTCGATAAGTTCATCCCAATACCGACACTTATCGATATGAATTGAACAGAATATTAGAGGAAAGACAGTTGAGGAACTAAAAAGTTCTCAATTTTCACTATGAAATTGCGCACAATTTGTATCGATAAGTGTCGATAATTGTCGAAAAATGCGCCAGGATTAAGCATGAAACTCTCTTTCTTGCAGGAACTCCTCGCGTCACGCAGTTCGATCCTAGATAGACTTTGCGATCGAGAGGATCAACAGTGGTTCTTCGCCAATTGTCTGGACACACTGAAGACACACTTGGTGATCGCGGTGGGGGGCTTCTGATGCAATGATCATATCCAAGGATCTGTTTCTCCTCGGTGAACAGGACTATCTACGACTGCCGAAAGACGAGAAGCGTGCTGGCAACAGAAAGAGTGATCCTGCGCCGCCTTCAGCTGGCATGGGGAAGACGCCTCCTGATGAGTCACGGTGAGTCTAAAAGACAGAGAGAAATCCATATATCAAGATCGGGAAATGCCCAAGGAGGTCCAGTCCATATATGTTGTGTGCATTGTGATCTTGATGGGTGTTTTTTCGTTTCGGGAGAGCGACAAACTTGCCGATTTAATTGCTTACATTAATGAGAAGATCGCGCGCGCGCGCAATGGTGCGATGAAAAGTTGAGGAACAGGAAATTCACACAGTGCACAATCGCGCAAGGTCGACCAGTGCACGGATTCTAAGTTCGAAGACATGTCCGAATTTTTTGGGGCTGCATTTGCGCGCCACCCTTCTGCTGGTTCTCCTTGGACGGGGCGCGCGCGCGCGTAGCGACAATCGCGATTCGCGTGACCCTCGGCGGTGGAGAAAGGTCGGTCTTATCGGGTTGCGCGCGGCGATGATAAAGTCTCTAATTGATTTTTCGGGTGCTCAGGAGGGAAGGCCCTGCATTGGGCTCTGCTGACATTGAACTCCGCCTGATGGCACTCCCTGGTCAGAGTGTGTGATAAAAGGGGGCCAAGCGATATGGGCACCAGCTGTTCCGTGCGCGCAAACACTGCCGAAATGCGTATGAGCGAAAGGAGGCGCGCGGAGAAGTGCGCAAAAAGAGCCTCTCAGGCAGACAAATAAAAATGGTATATTTATATAAAGTGCAACAGTCAATGGCAGGTGTTTGTATACCGGAGTCCAAGAGAGTTGCACATTGGGATTCGGAATGCGCGCGGAGAGCGTTTATTAACGGCCGAGTGCTGCAGAGCAGCAACAATAAAAGAATCCAGTCACAGAACCATCAAAAATCCCCCCAGACTCTCGACTCGTTACACATTTTGTGCGCTCTTTTACCCCAAGGAAAATGTGGTGCTCATAAAATGTGTGTGCCCCCCGCCAACGGAGCTCCTCTCCAGTCTCTCTCGCCTCCTTTTTTTCTGTGCTCTGTGGCCCCACTTCTTTATGACTTCTTGCAATTTTTCTGCAACACTCTTGCGGCTTATTTTTGGGATTCTCTGTGCCACTTCGCGCGAGAGAGCATCTTTTGTGGCCGCGCGGCCCAAAGAGATCATTAGGAGTGCACGCGGTGGCCAAACAAAGGGAGGATTTCTGACCGTGGGTTGCAATTTAAAATCACTTAGAATGAGGGGGGCTCTCCAGAGGCGGACTCCGCGCGCGACCCCCAAAAATGATGAGTGACGCAAAATAATTTCGTAACCACTCTCGTATCGCGTCTGAACACCTTCAATTAGCGAAAAATTTGCCAGTGTGCGAGCGAAAAAAGTGTCTCGAGCAAGAGAGAGAGAGAGAGAGAGAGAGAGAGAGAGAGTGAGAGAAGCCATTAGTGTGGCTTTTATATAACTTTAAACTAATCCTATGAATATGACTTTGAACTTGAAAATGCCTCCATACAAATAGGCATACAACATTATTGTTATGTTTGTCAAGAATGATTTAAGGTTATTCGGTTGTCAACTTCCGCCTGAAAATTTCATGACCTCCATTCACCCATGGATAATTATAGAGATCGCGTTCGGCCAATTGATCCTTCGCTGATTTCGGCATCCACAGGAATTTCCGTGGTATTTCCTCTTGGGGTCATCTTCGATGAGATGGGTGCCTTCGATGTGCGCCGGCAGAAGATTATTATATTTAGACAGTCCGTGAATTTTGCGGATGAAATTCTTTCCGATTACGCAACTCGAGAGCAGATTCTTTTTGGTGGATCTCTTCGTTGTATGCAAATTTCTTGTTTTACGGCATTTAGGAATGAATTATTATGTAATTCAGAGCTTCTCGCGACTTTTTGTGCGATTTTTTTTCGCCAAATAAGAGCTATCAAGTTGCGCCCCTGGTGATGAATGGGGAATGTTGAGTTGGAGATTTTTGTCGCGAATTCTAAATGTGACAAACACCAGGTTTTTTCTTGATAAAAAAAAACTATTAACAACTTTTAAAGCTCTTTTTCCTGTTCTCAAGAGTTGTTGCATCGCGAAAGAGCTCTCAGTATTTGTTAAGATATCAAAGAATTAGGAGTGAAGCCAGATTCCATTGTCTCTGTTGTATTCCAAGAACGGATTTCCCGGAGGATCTTCGACAGAGTCCTTCTCGGCGAGCTTCCGCTGTGCGTGGGGCGGTAAATTGTACAACAATAGGGTGGAAAAGGAGGCCGAGGAAGCGTCTCTCCTCTGGCCACACCTGTGCAGACTCGCCGAGGCATATTTCCATGGCTGCCGCGAAAAAATCCGTCTGATGCTCCCACCTGCCTTGGGTTGGGGAGGGCAAAAACGGCCAAATACCAACTGGCTTTTTTGCCCTGATCGCGCTTAAGAGCGTAATGTACGAGGCAGAAATTCCACAAGAGCAGAGGCAAGTGCCTCTCACCTCCGCGCCGGGGTGGATTGAGCGGAATCGGCGGGACGAGAGGTGGCGGAGGGGGATGGGGTCCTGTGCGTGTTGCCCGATTGGAGTGCCCACCAATTGTTGAACGCCTATAAGTTCAATGGAATTGTATGGTGAATGTGTGTAAAGAAGCTTATAAACATTAAAGTGACGACGATTTTAAATACATAAGGCCACATTCTCTGCACATAGACTCTCTGGTATTTTTGCTCTCTCGCTCTCTCTCTCTCTCTCTGCCTCCCTCTCGCCCGAGTGCCCAACGCAGCGCGAGAGAGGGAGAGAGAGAGCGCGAGGAAAAAACGAGCAAAGTGAAGTGTAGGAAAAAAAGGCAAAACTTGGAACAGAACGCACAACACTTTGGTGGAGCCAGAAATACACAACATGAGAAAAGTTTTAGGCGCGAGTGAGGCGGCACGATGCCAGAGTGGGACACACTGACATAGCAACGTTGGCGCTGCCATCACTTTCGCTGGCAGTTCAATGCACTCTGCGAGGCGCACGATTTGAGATTTTACACTAAATGCCGTGACTCACACAGTTCCTACCATTCGCCACCAATCACTCCTTCGGCAACATCCAAATTCTATCGGCAGTTTCCACTCCACGAGACGCGCGCCACCCAAGGCCGACCAACTCTGTGGACCACAGGGTGAGTGGCGATGCTCCCCCGTTTCTCACAGTGTGTGTGTGAGTCGCGCACAGCCTGGAAATGTTGGAGCAATTGGGGAAAAGTGATGGAAAACACCTAATTTGCATGATTTACGTTCAGATAAATCAATTGAAAGCAGTTTCTCAGAACCTTTCTTCATCTAAGGAAGCATGGAGACGAAAAGGACGCCGGTTCAAGTAGTGCAAACCCACATCGGAAAGCCGTTTTACTCTTGATTTCTAAATGAAATCACCCAATTTCATGGGATTCTGAGCGACAATGAGTGAGAAAAGTGAAGATAGGACGTGAGAGATTTCCCTCATAACCTTGAATGCGGTCAGAGGTGAAAGTGATGCATCGGTGCATTCCTCTGTGGCTGTGCGCAGAAACCATTGACCTGGCGGAGCATCCCAAAGGTGCAAAAATCCTTCAAATGCCTCAACGGAAGTGGCGAATTCTTCACGACGCGCTAAAATAAATTCATAGGAGAGCCATAGCCAATTGTCACGATGCAATGAGCAGTGCATACAAATAGGAGACAATTAAATGGCATTTGTCGTGTCTCAGCCATAAAATTGCAACCAGAGTGTCTCTGGCGGTCAAAAAATTCATAGAGTGTCTCCGAGACTCTCTGGCTTTTTTTCTCTACCTTTATTTTTATTTCCTATTTTTTCCTCCATCTCCTCCTCCTTCTGGTGACTTTGCGGGGGGATAAAAAAAGCGCGCGACTATAGCGAAAAACCATCCACTTTTGCTTCCTTTTATTACTCATGGCTGCCACGTTAAAAATTTCTCGCACTTGTGGTGTAATGATTTGAAGTTGGTATTGGTGTATAACCTTGAAAATTTTGTACATGATGGCTTTTTATTGGTGGAACGACGCAAACAGTACAAAATTGCGTCTGTTTACAGTGGCAAATAATACCCACCCCGAAAAATATGAGAGAATGATAGAAATTGATGTGGCGAAGAAATTGTCACTCGCGACCTCCACAGAGGCCTATCGCCACTGGGGTACATAATGTACAGTGAAATTTTCTAGATACAGCATTTTTTTCCGTATATGTGAAGTGCCTATTATCAGTTTATTTAAATGATTGAACAAACAAATTGACTACGCACGAGAACAAATTCCCCCGCGACCAATACATTGGCGCACAACTCGGCCCACCAATACAGCATCCCGCGGGAGCACAGCGAAAAAACATACATAATCATCTTATACAATTGAGAGACAATAGGGAATTGACAATTTCCTCGTGGCGCATCGAGAAATTGCCTGTAATAGATTGAAAATTGACGAATATGACCTGAAATTGGCAACAATTGATGAGATTTGCCATAATTATGGCGTTGGCCTATCATAAAGTAATAGAGCCTAGACTATTTTTTCGCCCCGCGCAGTGCCATAAACTTCCTATAACACGATCATTCCCCTAAATATCGCCATTACTCACAGCTCAATTCCTGTGAAATCATTACTCAATAGCTGACTTCTCAAGAAGGCGCGACAAAAAGCCATTGAAAAGCAACGACGACCAGGCGTCCCCACTGGGCCCAGGATAGACGTGTTTTTTTCATTCCTATCTATGTCATCGGCCATAAAATCTAAGGTGCAAAAAAGCGAGACAGTCTAATCGGTGTGAGATGGAGCAAAAAAAACGTCTCTCTAAAATATAATTGAGCTTTAAGAGACAAATTAATATAAATTATTGGCTTCCTCCTGGATTTTTGGGCATAAAATGTGTGACACTGGTTGAATTTCAATGAATTTTTCAACATGGAGCACAAATACAAAAAGTGCGACTGAAAAAAACTGTGACATTATAGAATTAAAACTGTTATTATATCGTCATTATTCACATCACACACAAGTAACCAAAATAATGAGTTTGACATTCAACCGAAAAATTCTTATTCTCCTATTTCTCAACACTGCTCGTCTCGG